GGGCAACTAGTATGAACTGGGGATTATAAAGGGAAGGGAGGCTATGTATGATGGGTGTGAATGCTTATTTAGCCCTTCTTGGTATGTGATGGTTAACCTCAAGGAAACACTGGAACACGGAATTATTTATAATGTTCAACTAGATGCATCATAGGATTATGCAAAAGTTAGCTATTTTATCTCAGGTTTTGCTTAGAGTGCATTTATTGCTCCGAGTCCTTTACTGCTCTCCTCTGGTTTCCTCTTATGGGTTTGCATAAATATAGGACTCTTTCTCTGTGTCATTAACTCTGAAGAAAGAAAAGTTACATTTGGTGGCATAAATAAAGGCACATTTCAGATTAAGCTGATTGCTTGATAGAATTTTCCTACAGTTATCAGTTAACTCTTGGATGTGAATTTTCATAGCCAGTTTGACTGTTGCATTTTATGAACAGAAAGGACTATTGGGAAGCAAGTGTCACCTTCTCCAAAATGTAAGTCATGGAGAAACTGTAACATTTTTTTCTGCAACTAGTGTTTTGTTTCTGAAGGTGGTGTGTTTTGTTGTTTGTAATGGGATGTTGTAGATCAATGTCACATTGATTCTATATTTCAACAAGTTTTATTAGGAAAGTACTTTGCACACTTAAGTTTGAAGAAAAATCACAACCAGTGCTATAACCTTTCAACATCAAAGCAAGGAAAACCATTTTGTAGCATTGCCACAAGGAGGTCTATGAGGCTGTCAGTAAAAAAATTAAGAACCGAAAGCAATCACAAGTACTAACAAACTTGGCAGCTGTTGAGTGATTTAGCTCTTGATTTTTTGAAAAAGTTTTCTTATTTGGAAATGCCTGTGGAAATGAAATTTGAAATGTAGAATAACAACAATGAATTGGTGTGCAGTGTGGTGTCATCAGTTATGTTATATACTACATACCATACTGTAGGTTATATGCTTGCTTCTTTTATGGGCCTGCTAGGTATTTATAAAGATGGGAACCTCTGTTGTGCATTTTGCACTGTCTAATAGCTTTTAAAGATATTTTAGAATACGCCAAACCAGTATTTGTCAGTAAATAGGCAATACTCAATTCTGCTAGCAAGGAAAATGCTTGTTTAATTAAACAGCTATGTGTTAAATGGAGCTTGGTCTCATAAGCAGTAACAGATGAAGAGCTTAATTATTAGCAGTTTGTTTCTTTCAGACTTGCAGTGCATAAGTGTTTCTCCCAGTAGCTTTTCATACCTCTTTCTGATGGTATCCATTGCATCAAAGGCCAGTTGTATATAGTGGCCCTGACTCCATTTATCTACTGAGTTGTCACATTGCCCTGTGTGACTTCCTACTGTGAAACTGATGCAAAGCTATTTTTAATAAATGAAATGTAAAATGACAGTTTGAAGTCTCAGTCTGGCAGAACTATACAGTCAAGTAAAGAAGGGAAAAAAAAAGCCCAAACCAAAACTGAAAAATCTGAAGTATCTTTAATCTTACTCATGCTGTGACTTCCTTCCAGTTGAAGAGAAGGTTATGGTATTTCTAAATCTTTAATTACATACTCCTGTATCAGTTTCTTCTAGCCATTGAATGTGCTTTCCCCCCACCTTCTTCTTCCTAAGTGGTTTATACTGCTGCTTCCTCTGTTTTGTTCTTCTCACCACAATAGGAAGTGAGGAGTCGCATAGCTTCCTGATGTTTAATCTCATAGATTCTGAGCATTCTAATTTTGTCAAACACCACTGCTTAACCTTCCTTCTAATTTTTTTCTTGTTTTATGTAATGTGATAGCCTTTTCCCTGCCAGACTTGTCTCTGTCAAAGAAGTAAAACTTCCTCACTTTGCGTTACACTCATCATTAATACAGAATTGTAGTGGACTCTGGGTTTAACTCCATACATTTAAGATGGCAATCTCTATCACCAGCAAGCAGGATGTGAAAGGGAGGAACAAGACTGTATTATGTCTGCAGCTTCTTAGAAGGTTTTTTGGGTGGCTTAAGTTCCTGCTGCTTTTATCATTTGCAGCTCAAAATCCTGATTTGAATACTGCTCCTTCTCTATAACTTTGTACATGGAAAAGGAATGTAAATGGCAAGGCCAGCTGCATGAGAAGAAAGCATAACATTGCTGAGAAGGAAACTGAGTGACACTATTTAAAAAAAAAACCAAACCACCTCCCCCCCCCAGTCCTTTCATTAGGTAACTTTTATTTTGGCTTAACTGGGAACTCTTTATAGATAGCATAACAAAGATATTATTATACTGTCAGGAGCTTTGCTAGTTAGCTACTGCTGGAGTTAATTTTGGTTTTCACATCTATTCAGACAAAAATAAGAATTGCTGCTGTTGTGGACTATTTGCTGTGATGATCCCGTTTAAAAATTGTTAATTGAAATTTGGGCTTGCTGTGGCTACAACAGCCTCAACTAGCGGAAGAAAAAACAATACATGTCAGGAGGAGCCTTCTGTCTGCAAGTCTTTAGTTCAGAACAGAAGTGGGAATAAGAATTAATATCACCTGCCTTCCTATTCTTATGTTTTAGGACAATCAAGGAAGAATATGAAGTATGCTTTTTTCCATGGGTTTATTGCAAAAAGGGTAAGTGCGTGACTGGATCTCTTCTACTTTTTTTCCTCAAGAAAATACGTCGGAGACTATTGCCAGTGACTTCGCCAGGAAGTTTTGCTGTACTGGTGCATCAAGCAGAGAAACTAGCGTAGTAATGTACCTGCTG